TTTTATGCACTGTGACAGGGTATTTGCTGATGGGATTTCCTACTGGTCTTTCCTTTATCAAAGGTGTAGTAGAGACTGTGGTATTGAAGCTGGGGTCGTTCCTAGCCTTGGCCTCACGTTGTATGAACTGAGAAAAAATGGAGAAAGGTGGAAAGGCTACTCCATGTTCTTCTTTGTATCTGGAACCTACAGACATCCACTTTTCCTGCAGATGAAAAGGCAGCTTGTCTACAATAGGACCCACACCTCTTGCTGTGTCCAAGAAGGTCAAGCCAGGTAGGTATCCATCCTCTTTGGCTGCTTCTAGTTCAAAGAGCAGGTCACCAAGCTCACGCAGCTTGTGGTTCTCTTTATTAGAAATCCTTGGAAAGTTTTCTATTTTAGAAAACAGAGCACTCTCTATGGCTTCAGGTGAGCCGTAACTTTCCTCCAGCCTTGTCCAAATCATTTTGAGGCCGACCAACGGGTGTCTGACATTGACTGATTTGAGTCGACGTGCTTGTTTGCTTGACTCTGGCCCCAACCATTTTATGAGTAAGTCAATTTGTTCATGAGCAGAAAGATCCAGACCCTCCACAGAGCTGTTGAACGTTGACTTCCACCCGAGGAAATGTTCCGGCTGATCATCAAATGTTGTCAATCCGCCTAGCACCAGCTGGCTTTTGGCTAGAAATTTGGCAAGTTCTGACATTTATTTTCTTTGATCTGGGTAATAATGAGAATATGAGCGGTTTTGATTGAGAGCTTGTTCATTATCATGAAATGGTGTGACAGTCTGATGCTGGTCTCCATAAAAACTGCCCTGATGTTGGTCCTGGTGGTGTGATTTAGAATGCTGTTGGTTGCTTTGCTGAAAGGGTTTGCGTCAGGATGCTCATGATGAACCTGATACGGGCTGAACTTATGCTCTAGAGAACGTGTGTCAGACTGTAGCCCCATATGACGTGAGTCGGACTGTAGTCCCTGTTGACGTGAATCAGACTGCTGCTGTAGATGACGTGAGTCAGACTGCTGCTCTAGAAGACGTGAGTCAGACTGTAGTCCCTGTTGACGTGAGTCAGACTGTAGTCCCTGTTGACGTGAATCAGACTGTTGCTCTAGACCAGTGGTTCTCAACTGGTCAGGCCTCGGGACCCACTTTTTCCTTAGTCAATAGATCGCGACCCGAAATTTTGAACCACTCAAATCTATTCAACAAAAGATCGTGCAGTAATATATACGCTTTTCAGCATACATTATTAATTAAAGTGAAGTACAGTGCATCCCTTATATCCCTTCACAGAACTAAAATAAAAAAGGTTTAATGAGATGATGGAATCAAAGCTGAACTAACATGAAAAGGCACACATGCTGAAAACCCAACCCCAGAAGGGGGGTCTGGGGGGATTGTCCCCCAGGAGATTTTTTGAAATACTAACATATAAACTAAGCATTCTGGTACACTGAGAAGAAAATAAATAAATCTATTACTACCCGACATATTAATAATATTTTATGCCATTGTTTGTTTTTCACTTAGTTCTGACAGCTTGCTGCTCCTCACAGAGAGAAGAGCAAAGAGGAGATAGTTAGAAGTTATTCTCCGTGGGGACTTCCGGCAACAATCTTGATTCTGATTGGCCAGAAGACTCGAAAAAACATCAGCAAAGATGTTTTATTGAGAAGATGATCACTACGTGACAGAAGTTTTCAAAACCGTGTATGGTCTCCGGTACTTCCAGCCCTGCGCCTACTGCATGCACAGCGTTAGAAAATCGGGCCTTCAAAATAAAAGTTTGACTTTTTTCCCAAAAAAAAAAAAGGAAATTTTTTTTTTTTCAATTTTTCTTTCCATTTTTTTTTCTTCACTGACACATCTGCGACCCACTCGAAACGGTCGCGACCCACCAGTTGAGAACCACTGCTCTAGACGACGTGAGTCAGACTCATGCTTGACTGTTGGGTTAACATTTATAGTTGTGTGTTGAGCTATATATTCACTGACTTTCTGATGTGAACTTATCTGAGAAGTTAAGGACTCTATCTCTTCCACACTACTTCGGGAGCCTAACTCAGCAGCAGCAGCTTCCATGACCAGTGCTTTAGCGAGTGCTGACTCTGCTTCTTTCTCATGCTGAAGAGCATCCATTCTCGCTTCGATACGAGCTTTCTCAATTTTTATATCCATTTCTCGTTGTGAAAAGGCTGCCCTAGCCTGAGCTGCATTAGCTTCCGCACGTGCCTTAGTAGCTGCCATGCTAACACTTGTTGCTGTTGAAGAGCGTGAGGATTTAGCAAAGCGGGCGGATTTACTACTGTGGGATACATGAGAACGTGTTTTAAGACTTTCCTTGTCCGATGTTGATTTCAACTCATCCTCCATGATGTTGAATTACAATAACTTGTTGTAAGCAGTATGTGTCTGGGCTGTATGACTTTGGATATGCAGCAAGCAGAGCATCATACTCACATAAATCCATATCTATATCCAGTTCTTCTGTAATGTAGGTATCATTTCACTGTACTGTTCTCGTTTCAATGTATGGATATTGAAACTTAACAGCCAGCTAAACTCTCCTCAGCATCATTCCTCCAAGGAACAGGCAGGTGTTGTATTTGGCAGGGATTTTAATGGTAAGAAGTGGGAAACTGAAACAAAATACATTTCTCCATAAGTACACATAAAACAATGATATGTTCTTAACATTTACAGAATAAATTAACTTTTTACAAGAACAGGTTATTGCAGGTAAATATGCAATGCAACATTATGGACATCAACATCCCCATCCCCGCCCAAAAGCAAAAACACACAATAACCTACAGAAATCTCAAATCCATCTCACCTTCAGCAATCACTGCCTCCATTACCTGCAAGATGTCTGTCTCCCCACCCCCACTTTCTGAAAACCCATCTGAACTTGTGGACTATTATAACAGCACCCTCTCCTTCTGTCTCAATGAACTGGCCCCCACAAAAACTAAAAATGTCTCTTTCTTACACTCCGCCCCCTGGTATACCCCCGAACTCCGCCAAATGAAATCAAGGAAACGTCAACTTGAACGCCAACACAAGAAAACCACACTAACAGTCCATCTTCAAATCTACAAAGACTATCTCCAGCAGTACAGTAACGCACTCAAAGCAGCCCGGTCTAATTACTACTCACAACTCTTTCAGCCTGGCTCCAGCAACCCCAAGCGTCTGTTCTCCACCATCAGCAAACTTCTCAAACCCTGTGACAACGCCACCTCATCCTTCACCACCGACTTACTGATAATACCACGTTTAGGGCTTAGAACGAAGGATGGATGGGGATTCTGCAGCGAGTGCTCCCATTACATGCTTATTGCATTAGTGTCCATGGTTGCGGTCGAATAGTCCATTTAGCTTAGGAACCTTCCTAACGGAGTGAAATGACCCGGAAGTCCCTCAGTGGCAGCCATGATAAGTGCCGTTCGAATTCTCTAAATGAAAGGAAAGGAGGTTTCAAACTTCCTTTATAACCTCCTTTAGCTTAGGAACCACTGGACCTCCCTAACCTAAAGGAGAGGAGAAAATGCTGCCCCACAATGCCTTGCGGCCGTGGGCCGCGGCATTTGCCGTCACACAACAGTCGGCCGTTCACGGAAACAACCGATTATGAACGAGAAATGATATCATGAAAGTTACGGTGCTTATTAAGCATTTTAAAACGTATGTGGTAAGTTGCCAAAGTGCTTTGTTTTGAACGTTCATCAGTAGGCTATTATAATCAAAAAAAGAAATATGAACGTTAGTTTTTACTGAAATGATCAAATAAAGTCAACATTTCACAGTCTTTACTGAGCTGTGTGGGGTTTGTTCAACTTTTAAAATATGTTTGAATGGTGATATACACAGTGATAGATGTTAAGGACTAACGTTTATAATAAATACATTTGTATTGATTTTAAGATCTTTTCATACAATCATACGTATTGGGATCATTTGTATTAATGTGGACCGGAGGGAGAGGGTGACGAGCATAAGTTTCACTTTCCTTTTTTATTTCAATTCCAACTTTGGTCATGAAGAATATGTTTCTCTGTTGTCCCCGTTCATAAAGCATAAAACAACAGCATCAGAGCACGGTGCAGTCTCTAGATGAGTTTACAGTAGTCCCTCGTTCTTATTAAACATCCATGTTGTAGTCCGCTGTATAGAAAACTGTAGTTTCCATAGTTTCCCCACAGCAGCAGGCGCACATTTATGACCTCCGCTGGCGCATCATAAACACGTCGGATAGTGAAAGTGCAGTCGGATTCTCTAAAGTACCGCAGTCTCTTCTCCTAAATCCTTTTGAATTCTCCTATCCACTATCCCTTAACCCCGTGACGTTTCACTCAGAGGTCAAGGAATAGACGATAGGGTTAGAACTTAGGAGCTGATTTTTGGACTATTCGACCGCAACCCAGGGGTGTTTCTCAATCGCGAGTACGCTTGCTTGGTAGCACATGTCTGCCGAGCATCTTGCTTCAGAAGCGAGTCAAGAATACTTCCTGCCATTCGGAAAACAAAGAGTGGAACAGGCTAGCAAGTGTGCAGGTGTGCGTCATATGAGAGGCCCCGCCTTACATCTTCCGCCACAGATTTGGGGAAATTGGTCCGTGCGCAAAGCATTGTGGGGATTTTAAGGCCGCGAAGTCTACTCATGTGCACACTCGATATTTCTCCAAACGGAGTACGCCGGGCTCGGTAGATTTCCAAGTATACTGGAGATTGGAACAGTACTTCGGCGGCACTCGATGACGTAGTATGCTTGAAATAGTGTCTCTGAAGCAGCTTTACTCGCGATTGAGAAACACCCCTAGTGTAAAAGGACTTCCTGGAACTTAAGGAAGTGGTCATAGCCACAAAGGAAGTGCCATCTCTTTCAAAGTACATTTCAAAATAAAAGCTGCCTTCTAACTGCTAATACATTCCTATTTGTGTTCCATGACACAAATGATGTGATGTATATTGATTTGGTGAAGTCTCACAGTAAGTCTGTTCCCTACAGGAAGCCCCTCAGGTCATGCTATGGGTGCAGCTGGGGTCTGGTATGTGATGGTGACAGCGCTACTAGTTATTGCCAAAGAGAAGCGATGCCCCCCTTTACTGTGCAAGTGAGTCTTTGGAAATACAACCAATTATTTATTTGAAACATTAATAATCTGTTGTGCACTCTTGCTCAGTTTTCCTTCTTGGTCAGATTATTTCAGGTAGGCCTGTGGACGCTCATGCTGCTGGTAGTGCTGGTGGTCTGCATGTCCAGGGTCTACATGGCTGCACACTTCCCCCACCAGGTTGTTGCTGGAGTCCTTACAGGTAAGTCTGCTAGAAATATTCAACAGTCATACATTTTGTGTTGATGAACAATTTATGGCATATGGAAGTCCTAAGAGGCAAGTGAGATAAAAAAATATCGTCTGATCCTCAGTGTTTTCTCTTTTGTGTTTATGACTTAAGAGGTAGGATGCATTTTCTTAGCTACTTTTATTCCATCTGTGAAAATAGATGGAGTTTTGGGAAGTGTTTTTCTTTCAGGATCAAGTGTTTGTTGTTGTAATACTTATTTTGGCCCCGAGAGGCACTACCAGGTGAGTTTTCATTTGTCCCTGCACTCTTAAAGGTCCCATGTCATGTTGAGGTATACTAAAATAGATTTATATTGTGCAATTTTCCAAAATCACATTGGTTTCTCATACAGCATCTCTGTATAGTATGTGTATTCACTCTCTGTCCTAAACGGCTTGTTGGAGCTCCTGCCCCCCCCCCCCCCCCCCCCCCCCCTCTCTATGAGCCCAATGGCCGTCTGCGAGACAGCGAGACACAGCAAAACCCAGCCCGAACACACACACACACACACACACACACACACACACACACACACACACACACACACACACACACACACACACACACACACACACACACACACACACACACACACACACACACACACACACACACACACACACACACACACACACACAGGGTGTTTCTCAATCGCGAGTATGCCAAGCATCTTGCTTCAGAAGCGAGCCAAGAATACTTCCTGGCATTCGGAAAACGAAGAGTGGAACACGCTAGCAAGTGTGCAGGTGTGCGTCATATGATAGGCCTCGCCTTACATTTTCCGCCAAAGATTTTGGAAATTGGTCCGTGCGCAAAGCATTGTGGGGATTTTAAGACCGCGGAGTCTACTCATGTGCAGCCTCGAAATGTCTCCAAACGGAGTACGCCGGGCTCGGTAGATTTCCAAGTATGCTGGAGATTGGAACAGTACTTCGGCGGCACTCGATTAAGTAGTATGCTTGAAATAGTGGCTCTGCAGCAGCTTTACTCGCGATTGAGAAACACCCACACTCACTCACACTCACACCCGACTCACAGCCTCGCTGTAAATCGGCGGAGCTGCAGCTGAGAAAAGATTGAGCGTGGGTGTTTCTCAATCGCGAGTACACTTGCTTGGTAGCACATGTCTTCCGAGTCACTTCCTTCAGAAGCTAGGCAAGAATCCTTCCTGGCATTCGGAAAACGAAGAGTGGAACAGGCTAGCAAGTGTGCAGGTGTGCGTCATATGAGAGGCCCCGCCTTACATTTTCCACCACAGATTTGGGGAAATTGGTCCGTGCGCAAAGCATTGTGGGGATTTTAAGGACGCGAAGTCTACCCATGTGCAGCCTCGAAAATGTCCCCCAAAGCAAGGACACGGCCTCGGTGGAATTCCAAGTATGCTGGAGATTGGAACAGTCCTTCGGCGGCACTCGATGACGTAGCATCCTTGAAATATTGGCTTGGAAGCCAGTTTCCTCGAGATTGAGAAACGGCCTGTGTGTGTGTGTGAGGAAGTCCGCCGATTGGTCCATTTGGACCAATCCACAGACTTAACGTAACGGCTCCGCGGACGTAACATAACGGCTCCACGGATTGGTCCATTTGGACCAATGGGTCCATTTGGGTATGGGCACGTCACTGTACCCAGGAAGAAAACAATGGAAAAAGAGAAATCTCCAACGAGGCGTTCTGGGGCAGCATAGACAGGTATTTTCTGTGTTAGAGTTTTACTTGCTACGGGGTGTACTTTGAGGGTTTGTGACTTTGCAGACCGTTTACATGCATAAAAACCTTCATAACACACAAGGGGACAGGTAATAACCGGAAAAGCATGACATGGGACATTTAAAATCAAGGTTCACGGTGAATGAATTAACAGGGATTCAAATTGTTGTTTTAAATGCTTCATAATCCGACACGTGTTTTTATGTTTCGTGATTTCCATACAATGTAGCAACAATTATCTAACACATAATAGTGTGGATGTGTTCAGGTAAAAAATATCAGTGAGAAGTATGTGCAATCAAACCATTACGCACCTAAAATCCTATGAAGCTCTTCTGGCCCTCTGTTGAACAGATCACCTTCTCTGTTTTTGTGTCAGGTGTACTTGTTGCTGAAGTTGTCTCGAAGGAGAAATGGATCTACAGCGCCAGCATGAAGAAATACTTCTACACAACTCTCTTCTTGACCTCATTCGCTGTTGGCTTCTACCTGCTGCTTAAAGCTGTGGGTGTGGACCTTCTGTGGACGTTGGAAAAAGCCCAGAAGTGGTGTGTGAGGGCAGAGTGGGTCCACATGGACTCCACGCCCTTCGCCAGCCTCCTGCGTAACATGGGCACGCTTTTCGGCCTGGGCCTCGGCCTGCACTCGCCCCTCTACACTGAGACTAAGAAATATACAAGCACCGGTTTTAAGATTGGATGTATTATTGTCTCCCTATTTCTGCTCCAGCTGTTGGATGGATGGACATTTGCCTCTGATTATGACATGATTTACTATTTCCTGTCTTTTGTTAAAAGCGCGGTTGCACTTTTAATCCCGACCACTCTGGTTCCCTGGGCTATGCTCTGGATCTGCAAAGGAAATAGAGATGACAAGAAGGTGTGATTCAGGAACAACTTCTTGTTTAAAGTCAATTATTAGATTCGTTTTCTATGTGTACCTCGTGTTTAATGCACAAGGACATTTAGACTTTTAGGACTTTGTTCCTGAATTTAATGTGCTTGCGTGGATATCAGTTCCTTTAAGGAATATGTACTGTAGTTTGACATTTCAGGAATTGTGCCTAATCTCTAATTTAGAGAGTGAGATTGATACCACTCTTACTGTATGTCTGTAGGCCTAGTAGCACTGAAGCTACAGCCAGCAGCCTATTAGCTTAGCTTAACGGGTATGCAGCTAGCTGGACTTCGCCAATGTTATATTAAAGGTGGGGTAGGTAATTCACTTAATTCCATGGAATGCTCTTAACATCCCGATAGCAATGAATACATTAAATGCTTTGACAATAAATACATAAAAAAATGTCATCTGTGGAAGCCGTGGCGCTGTAAAAAGCACGACCAATTATTCTAAAATAACTGGATGGCCTACCTACCAGTGGCGGCTGGTGGAAAATATTTTAGGTGGGGCTGTGGTAATGGTGATCAAACAATACTAGGGGGGTCCGGGGGGGTGCTCCCCCGGTAATTTTTTTTGAGAAAAGACCCCTTAAATTATGACTTCTGGTGATGTTAGAGGGGGGGGGGGGGGAAGGACAATTTGAGGCTTAAAAATATGAGAAGACTGATCAATACCTCCATAACTTCAGTGTGGTTAGCTATGAATCTTCCAAAACTTCCAAACACCTTGTCCTGGACATAGTTTTTACAGCATAAACTGTGCAACAGTACAGTAGGCCCACACAAACTGCAGAACACCGGGGCTTTGGGAACACTGATTTAATTCCCATTTAACCTGTTAAGGGGCTTTTTTCCCCCGTTTTTTTTCTCACGAAACTGTGTCTCAGGGCTTCTTAAAATGTAATAAACTATGCATGTGTCCTACTCAGAGGAAACGCATCTAACTGATGATATGAACCATGTTTACCGAAACAAAACACAAGTCTCACAATAAGCGTCTAAATGAGCCCTGAGCGAAAAAATGCTAACGCACTCTAGGTATAAATCAATCGATATACTTATCGGATATGCACAAACAAGCTTACATGCTGAGATTCCACATATTCTAGAAATATAAGTATCATCACTGAGCGATCAGAACTCGCGACAGGGGAAGCAAATACAGACATCACACGACGTAGCTTTAGGTAGCAAAACACGGAGATATGCTCACCTTTTGCAGAATAACAATTCTGATCAAAAACGAGAAAAACGCAGCTGAAGGTTAATCCATAGGTTAATCCAATGTGTCTGTCACTTTGAAAAATGATTGATGATCCATAATTCAATTTTTATGTCAAAAACTGAGTTTTCATTAGCTGCTAATGGTAGCTTCCAGAGTGTATGACAGCTTCCTGTTTTGTCTCCTTGGATACGAGTCCAAACAACTCACAGACTGCACCGGGCGCTCACGTAGGAGCCCTGTGACCATCAGATTTGACAACGCTGATTGGCTGAAATTATGTTTCGGCGGCATAGTTTAAAGATAGCAACAGTTGGCTTCTGCTGCACTTGCTGCACTCTCGTCTGGGCGCTGTGCATAGCGCCCAGACGAGAGGGAGTAATGATACACGGGCAAGGCCAGGCAGGAAACATGTGACTTATCAGTAACTTTAGACATCGTAACACAATTTTAAACGAGATTTTATTGTAGATTATACATTTTACTGATACCAATTATGTAATATTTACCTTGTTTATTAAAAATAAAAATAAAAATAAAACATATATATCTTTTAAATATATATTTTTTTATTTTTTTTATTTTTAATGTGGGAAGAGGGGGGGCGGCGCCCCTAGCGCCCCTATGGGCCGGCCGCCACTGCTACCTACCTTTAAGCGATTTTCATTGTTGATAATCTGCAGATTATGTTCTTTTTATAAGTAATTTGGTCTATAAAATGTCAGTAGAGGGGCGAAATGTACATACCAATTCCTCCAAAAGTCCAAGACGATCTATATAAATCTCTTATTGTCGTCAGTCCAGGCAATTTTTTGGTAATACGCTAGTTCAGGGCTTCTCAAACTCCGGACCAAGGTCCGGATCCGGACCGAACTGCAAATCAATCCGGACCGAACCCTGTGTCCCATTATAAAAAAAAAAAAAAAAAATTATGATTCTGATAAATTAATGTACATCATTGTGTACGCGCGTCTTGTGTGACGCATTGTGAGAATGAACGTTGAAGTAAGAAGATATGATTCTAAACTGTATTGAAGTAAAGATGTATTATTTTGAATTGTATTTTAGTGAACATGTTTGAACTGTTTTAAGTAATCACACTCCTGGGTCATATACACACCCTGTCCCTTTCACCTCAACACACCAGATGTTGTTTTTAAGGTAGATTTGGGTCTCTTTTTATGGGGGCACTAAAGGTTTAATTGTTTTAAAAAGAAAAGTTTATGAGATAACTCCCCTGGAAAAGGTAGGGAGGGGAGATCGGGACAGAGATAAGAATTGACTTTTGACCTTAGGGGACTTTGGAATTTCAAGTCCTGGTGAGAACTATTGAACCCGGCCAGAAGCGAATCCAGCCAGTCAGGGCACTTGGGGGAGGTGGTCAGTTTAAACAGCTCCTCCCCAGGGGTTCTCTAATTCGCTTGGGAGAAAAGTGGGGAGGAAGAATTCAACACATCTCCGCCCCAAAATAGGGATATGTATACGGTTGGTTTTGTATGTAAAAATGCTTCTGGTCTGTTGAAAGCTGGTGCTAGAAGACGGTAAACCGCATCACAAACCTGGAGTCCATACTTCTCGTTTTCTGAAAGCTGGTCTGTCTACCTGTAAAACCGCATCACAGGCCTGAAGCCCGGAGTGCTCGAGTACTCTGTATAACTTGTATATGTGTTTGGTTTCCTACTAGAAGTAAACTCAGATAATTTGTTATAACTTTGATTCCGGTGTTTTCAATTCCTTTCTTAATTTAATAGAGATCCAGCCTCATCCAACGAACGGCGCGTAGCAGAGGTGTTCTGCTCCAACAACATGCATATATATTTACTTGTGTGCACGAGCGTGACACGCATTGCAGACCGCAAGTTAACCGCAAGTTTACCTTGACTTTCTAATGCCTTTTTTGCCGAGGTTCAAGGCATTGGCTACAGACAAACAGTGCCATTTCTCCCACTAGTTCAAGCCATCATACTGTATGTATGTATTGAATGTGTGTGTGTATATTACAAGAGGGCCCCCAAAGAAGGTAGATTAAGAAGGTCCACAGCAACGACAACATGAAACACCCTTTAATTTATTGCAACGACATGTCGGGAAACCCCCTCAAGGGGGCCCCATGCATAGAGCGCCGTAAGAAACATTTTCTTAATTTCAGTTTCGTTGCTCCGCTCCGGGGGGGGGGAGGGGGGTGACTTTACTGGCATTGATCCGGACCAGTGACCTTGTATAAAGTTCACAAGTGGACCTTTAATAAAAAAGTTTGAGTACCCCTGCGCTAGTTGGTTATCAACCTCATGGTGAAACCTCAAGTTACCTTTTACTCTTGGTTTTAGTATAGATTAAGCAAAGAAGATGAAATATGTATACAAGTGAACTTCAAAGGTGCTGGTTGACTGATTTTTTCACTTCTGAATAAAGCCAAGATAGGTTTCCCCCCATGTTTCGAATCTTTATGCTAAGCTAGGCTAACAGGCTCAACAATGTAGATGCAGACAGTAAAGTGAAATAAAATTATGTTTCATTTTTGTTTAAATTCGGCCTTCAAGGTCTGATTGTTTAGGTCAACTGTCTTTTCTCCCTGAAAAGGGCTCTACACACATTGCAGGCTCTTTTATTGGATAGTCTAGAGATTTTTATACAAATGTAGTTTGAAATTCAGAAAACAAAAGTGCTTAATCAGCAAAAGGATCAATAAATTATGTAATAAAAACTGTTTTATAACCATTTGTTTCCTATAAAGAATTGTGCTTATTTGACTATTGCTGGGCTCCCCAATTGGATTTCTCCGAATGTCTCAGACTAATACTGATTAATTCTCTTTCAGGAACAACCATTAAATATTAACCAGAGCATGCTCCCTTCACTCGGCAGTCCCACATAGTGACACAGCCTTTCACCACAGCCATGCGCTCTCGGGAGGGACATGGAGGGTCAAGGGGCAGAATACGTTACAGACAACACGTGCGTTTTTTCAGGCTCTAAAAGAAACACATTGTTCGGGCTATTAAAGGATGTACGTGAGATCAACAGGATTGCAGAGAAAGACGAACCTCTGGAAGTGTGCTTATAATATTGTAAACTGAGGGCAATTAGATGTCAATTTAAGTCATTGAAGTAATGATAAAACAAGTATGTAAATTATTTCTATTATTAAAATACCAAAGTTATATATTGTCATTTTCAAAAATGTAAGATTTAGTCTGCTATGCTATTTTATCCCAATGTGGTTTAATTTAGCTGGGCACACCGTAGACAGGGTCAAAGTGAGAAATCTCTTGGTGACATAATCATTGTGGATAGTAACATTTCCCAACTGCAAGTGTGTTTTTTCTTATCTCTGCGGTCCCTCTTAAAGGAGAGGTGTCATGCTTTTCCGGTTATTACCCGTCCCCTTGTGTGCTATGAAGGTTTTTATGCATGTAAACGGTGTGCAGAGTCAAAACCCTCAAAGTACACCCTATAGCGAGTAAAACTCTAACACAGAAAATACCTCCCCAAAACGCCTCGTTGGAGATACGTCATTGTCCATTTGATTCTTGTACGGCATGATGTCATGTATGAGAAACCAATGTGAGTTTGGAAAAATGCACAGTATAAATCTATTTTAGTATACCTCAACCTTTAAGTGTTTCCGCTGCTTATCACATGAAGCCATATCTATATGGTGACGCTCTATAGAGCAGGCTAGATTGTGGGAGGGTAAAACAGACAGAGGGGACAGACACTACAACTGCGTCAGAAACATTGAGCAACACTACCCTGTTTACATCAGTTGACTTTTAAATGATAAGGCAGTGTTTGAATCTTTACTACTAAGAGTCCTTTGCTTTAGTGCCTTCATTTTAATGGATGTATTATTACAGCTTCTTCTTAAGATACTGCATTCAACAATTACTCAGGATGTGATGGAAAAAATGTTCTACAGAATATTGACCCGAACTCCTAGCATTTATAATCAACAGATAGATTTACATCCAAATTTCAAGGGATTTAACAATATAAACGTTTTCATTTAGTCAAATGTGCATCTATTGCAAAGAAAATTGCACATATTAAAATTATCTCAATCTTGGATAAAAACTGTATATTTTGGTTATTACCCCAGTGTGCTTATAAGGCGCGTTCACACCAAGTACTTTTCCCACAATAGTTCATGAGAACTTTAGTTCATGAGAACTC